AAAGAATAATCTTTACCTTTTCTCATGCATCACAGATCTCTCGTGATGTTCTACAGTGCATTTTAGGTTAATGTCTGTGAAGACACATAGCTAATTAATTAGCTGTTTGAATGTCTTTCTCCTTATGTATAACCAATACCGCGTATGTTTTAGTTCATGGGCATTGGTAATACTTATGCCAAGAAGTGCATCTTAAGAGCTAAGGGGAACATTTTCCAAGACTCAGAGTAGCTACAGCAAGTTGAAGTTAATCTTTATAGCTAATAATTTATTTCCTGTACTTTTCTGTGGTGCTTTTGATCTCAAACAAAATCCATTCTTTTATCTTTTTTTTTTTTAAATCATGACAAAACAATGTACAAACCATTTAGAAGCTCCAGCCTTTTGATCTCAAACAAAATCCATTCTTTTATTTTTTTTTATTTTTTATTTTTTTTGGAGTCATGACAGAGCAATGTACAAACTATTTCCTAGCTCCAGTGAAATGGGTGTCTGTTGTCTCCCATGGTTCACGTTGTTTTGAAAAGTTGCAGTCTTTCATATTTGTACAACAGCCCGGACATTTTTGTGTCTCAGTGAAATTCCTCACTGTAATTTATCCCATCTGAGCAGATGTTTGTTAGTCTAATGGTATAGATTGCATTATGAAAATGCATCGCGTCAGGTACGCTAATACGAACCAGCTTCATTTCCTTCAAGCATATGATGGGACCGATCTTGCGACTAAGAGCAGGGGTAGGTCTGATACAGTTTGTTTTTTGTAAGACTTTAGCAATATCTGGAATGTTTCTCCAAAGTATAAAAATTTGGATTAATTTGAACTTCTGTGATGGGAATGTACAGCTGATGAAATAAATGGCTCAGAGTATCTCACGGTGGCATATCGGTGGAGTCCCAGAGAAATCTCCCTTAGTCTGGTACTCTTCAGTATTTTCATTACTGCTTGGTTGAAGGGCTAGAAGGACAGGTATGGGAACGCTGTATGACACAGACTGCGATAGGATTGGGTTGAGAATTCAAACGTAGCTTGATGTCTTGGGAAAATAGCGTGCAATAAATAGGATGGAATTCAGCATCGCTTCATCAACGGAACTAAGTACAGCGCCTTGGTATTGAGTGACCTCCTGGCTCAGCTGGGGAGAAGGAGTGACAAAGCAGCAGGTCCATAGAACAGCATCAGAGGGTGGATCACAGGCTGAACACAAGTTAAATATGTGAAGTTCACGTGAAAAAGACAGCAAAAAGGGACCCCAGCTTCAGTTAGCAAGAACATCGACCTGTGCACAGCACCGCTGCTGCCTCGTTTGGAGTGTCTGGGTTTGGGCACCACACTTCACCAGCGATACAAAACAGTGGAGGAAGCGTGTGACTTTCCCTCATGGGCTGTGTTAAATGCAGGGTAGAGAAGCGTCAGTCACAGGTAGGTTAAGGATAGCCAGTCTGGGCACTGGGCGGGTGTTGGGACTGACTAACCTGTCAGGGTCTCTCCTGCTGTTATTTCCTGTGATCCCACACTGAGTTTCTCATCTCCAGACCGCTCGGTGTTCTCTCAGTCTGCTTGTTCACCAGTTCATTTACTTGCTCTGTTACAAAGAGATGAACCAACTAAAATCAGGAAAAGGGGTTTGCGAACAGTTTTATTTCTCATGACGTGAGTGGCTGAATAACACTAAATGTCAGGTATTTCGAGCTTTTGCAGTGCAGCAAGGCACAGAAGTGGACTTCTGTCCTGCAAATGAAAGTCTGGCGTGAAAAATAAGAGCATCAGGGTTTTCAGCAGAACCATGAACGCTTGTAACCTCTTACCTCACTCTCAAACTCTGTACAGCCTAATTATAGTGCTGCAGATGGTGTTTATTTCATTATGCACATGCGTAAGAGGAGAACCGGGGAGAGGTCTGTGTCTTGGATGGTGGAACGCTCCCTGTGGGCATAAATAATACAACAACTGCTTTTATTAGGGAGGTTATATCAGAAATAGTGTAGCCGCTATATGTCGATGATGTATAATAAGGCCTGGTAACTTTCTTTAATCTTTTTCTCTTTTTTCACAACACAGATGATGGAGGCTGAGTCTGAGAAATGCGATTAGGGTTAAACCACAATGTTTGTGGAACTCAGAACCTAAGTGCTCAGACACGGTTGCGAGGGAGAGAAGGCGTCAGGTCTCCTGAAATGCCTGGGCCATATCTTCGTGTCGGTCTCTCTTGTAATTCCTATAATGGCAGCTGGCTTGGTCCTCAACTATCCTAAATTATCACTGCGTTATTGAAAAAGTGATGTTTTAAAATTTCTTTTTTTTTTTTTTACATGCTTAGGGCGATGAAAAAGTCTTAAAGAACCTCACAAAGACTGTGGAACATTTAAATGGCACATTTCTAACTCTCTTGAAGAAATTATGGCTTATATAGCAAATTCCATCTCAAGTATTCTTTAGAATTTGCTACGCTGCCCATGTGGTGAAAAACAAAAAGCCCAGAAGAGAGCAAACAGCTGAGATTAGCTACAGCCTGCACCTGAGTGTTATTGTATCTGAGCCACACAGTGAGAGTCATCTACAAGCTGTTGCAAAGGCTGTAATTAATGACAAAAGAAACAGAGCTAATGTCATTTTCTTGCACTGCTCCTTAGGCTCAGACATCCTGGGCTCCTCAGCAGTTTAATATAAAGGGTTTATCAAGCAACATCCTGAAGAATTTAGCGACTGCGGTGGAAACAGGGAGGTGCCGTTCCTAAGCTCTGCTGTTCCATGTTTGCTTTGGACCCCAGTGGTCAGCAAATGCTAATCTTGTCCATATGTTTGGCAGCTGACACACGCCGCGCTCTGGTTTTTATCCGAGGACTGCGTGAGATGCGAGACGCGCTTCAATTAAAAAATGACAGTTTAATGTGATTATTTCTAGCAAAGCAAACCAAATAAGAGATGTTTGTAATACACAGTAGTGCTTAGCTTCTTTCAAAACCAATGAATGTTTTGGCGATGGAAACGTTTGGACAATTTTAACCCCGAAGGCTCCATTTACCCCTTGTTTATTATGCTAAGAAAATAGAACTTTGAAAGGGAAAACAAACTAGAAATTATTACTGCCAGAGATGCATGGAAATGGGATATGGCACTTGAGTCTACCCAAGCTGGGTTTGGAACATGTGCTACCACGGGGAAGGCCGAGTAATCGACCACTGTCAACCCTTGGAACAGGCAGCAGGATTGATGTGCTGCAGCTGAAGTGCCAGCCTCAAGTTCCTGTTGTCATTCCATACAGGCAGATTAAATGAATCTGTCCGTGATGCAGACAAGAGTCCTGTACATGGTCAGTTTTCCTCGTAGGCACTATTTTGTTATTCCAAGTTTTATTAAGGTGTGTTAATAAGCTTTGAAAATCCTCTGAGTGAAGACACGTGTAAGAAATACTGTCAGAAGAACAGTGACATAAAATGATCAGTTGCTTGTTTCCCAAGAGGCATTTAAAATTTTTACCAATTGTGATTTAGTGAGAAAAGCCCGATGCCAAAAATATCATTTTCGTAAAGAAAATAGTGGCAGCTCCATGCGTTATGTACCATGAGCTCACTTCAGGCTGCCATCTGCTAAACCAGCACAGGAAAATAGGCTTTCAGTTCAACACTGAGGTGGTTCTTTTCTCTGAAAATAAGTTCAGCTGGCACTGATTTGTTGTAGTCCCTTCAAAGGGAAGCCTGAGAGGTTTTGACATGCCTGTGGTGTGTCGCCAGGCTTGGATTGCAGTCTTGGTATTTGGTGATCGTCATCTGTAATTATCAAAGAGCAGTGAGAATCCAGGAGGTAAGGAGCACAGCTCCTTATTCTGCTGCTGCTAACAAACTGGAAAGACTGTAGTAAATTTGGAGTCTCCTGCCATTTTGAGATGAGGAGTTACTTATTCTGCATTTCTAGTGCCTCAATATAAGAATATTTCCTTCTCAGTGTTGAAATTCAGGGTTGTTCTTACACTGTGAAAGAGCAGCATTTCTCACTACTGTCTGCTCTTCCATCCTCTCAGCCAGTCAGGAGAAGCGACGATTCACATGAGAGTGTCATGAGCAGGTACTGGGTTGAAACCAGTAGGCTCCATATCAGTTACGGGACAGTCAGGTTACCTGCTTTCAGAAGTGTTGCTTGGAAGGTTCTCTCTGGGACTGTGAGCCCACGTACATACCTGTTCAGCACAACACCATCTACCAAGGATTTCTTGGTAACAAACACAATACTGCTGCAAAACACGTGGAGGTGCCTCTTTTCGTGCCCTGACCCACAGGCTCTAAGGACACGGCAAGAGGCAAGCTAGTGAGGAGACATCACAGGAAGAGCCAGCTCTGCTTTGGTGAGGCCTTGCATGTAAGTAGAGATGAAGGCAAGAAAGCAATGGGCTAGTAAGAGCCCGATAAATGAAAGAAAGGGGAGCCAGAGGCTGAGGCACGCGTTTCACAGGCGCGTATTCTCTGCCTCCTTTGGTGCTGCCTGGCAGGGCTCTCTGCAGTAACTTGTGCTGTTGGTGGGAAAGGGTTTCCAGCATGTCAGCCAAGGGAGTGGCAATGAAGGACGAGGAGCTTAGAGCTCTGGTGGTAACAGCATTTTTTCCTGCTGCTTTTTCTTTTTTTTTTTTTCTGGTCAAGGCCTTCTCCTGTAATGTTCCTTTCTCCTTTAACTTACTTTTGGTTCATTAGCTGCCCCAATGCCTAGTAAGTCTTCCAAATGATGATTCCATTCCAATCCTCAAAGAACCAGGAACTCTGGGGTGAGGGAAGGCGAACCCTGATGTTCAGATAAGGCAACACAATCTACCTATGTGAACTTAAACAATCTGGTAGACCCTGGCTTTTAAATAACACTCGGTGAAAGAGGGCTTTTGAAATTCCTGGTATGGAAGCTCCACGCTTCGATGGGAATGTGATGCAGAACAAGTGTGGAGAGAAATAGCTGGAAGGATGCTGTGATCATTTCTGGAGAGGAGTCTCCAGTAGTCTGTGGTTTGCTTTGTTAGGACCTCTGCGAAGACCCCCACCTGTTTGTGAATGGCATCAGCTCCCATGACTTACACCAAGGCACCGTGGGCAACTGCTGGTTTGTGGCTGCGTGCTCCTGCTTGGCTCTGCGGAAGACTCTCTGGCAGCAGGTGCGTGCTTGGCGCATGAAATAAAGCGAATAAACTTTTTCTGTTTCCCTGCCTTTGAGCAAGTGTTTTTGCCTCTAGGAATAATGTGCTTCTGGCAAGTGGTGAATTTTGGTGGCTTCAAATTTTCCCTTCCTTTAGAAGTTCATTTTTCATGTTAGGAGACCTCCAAGGTCCCACTGAGCACCAAAGAAGAGATATAGCGAAGCCAGAGAGTGCAATAGGTTCAGTTTGTCTTTCTCTGCAGATCAATTTGAATTTCACTTGCCTAAAAGACTATTTGAAGTGGGACTTTACTTGACTTTGTAACCAAATTCACCCTCTTTTTTTCACTGCTTCATCTGGTTAAAGTCAACTGTTCATGAAACTGAATACCAGCATGGTGCATGCTCCAGGGCACTCTGCCCTCTGAATAAATCTTAACATAGTGCATTTGGTGAACTTTCCCTTACGTGGTTTCCTAGGTGATTCCAGACTTTAGTGAACAAGAATGGGACCCTAAAAACCCGGAGAAATATGCTGGGATTTTCCGTTTCCGTTTCTGGTGCTTTGGAGAATGGACAGAGGTGGTTGTTGATGATCTGCTGCCAACAGTGAACAGGGAATTGATCTACTGCCATTCCAATGTGAAAAATGAATTCTGGAGCGCATTGCTGGAGAAAGCTTATGCGAAGTATGAGCTAGTTCATTGTCCTTTTAGTCCTCAGTGCTGCCCCTTCTGTTGATCTGTTTGTTTTGTCTTTCAGCTCTATCGTACTTCCCATAGGTTTTAGGCTTCCTGCTAGCAGAGAACCTAAAAAAGATTGAGAACTTCTCCTTTTATCTGCAAGGACGAGGTGAATCATGAAAGAGTGCAATGCACTCTCCTTCAGCAGCCCAAAGCCTTAAGCATCATTCCACTCCTTTCCTAGAAACCCCCCAAAGGTTTATTTGCAAACTGCTTTTTTGCTTTGTTCTCTTTTGTCTTTTCCTTGGTGAGACACAAAGGTATTACCTACACTCAAGGCAAATTAGAGCACTTCTAAGAGCCACTGAGAACCTTCTGTGTTACTTCCAGGCTGGCTGGATCTTACGAAGCCCTAGATGGAGGCAGCGCTGCAGATGCAATTGTGGATTTCACCGGAGCAGTGGCAGAATCTATTGATTTGGTACAGGGCAAATATGGTGAGATTATTTCTGAGCAGACGAAGCTGTTTGAAGACTTGCTGAAGGTGCATAAAAGAGGCGGGCTGATCAGCTGTTACATTGCGGTATGTATAGAGAGCTGGATTTGAAGAGTTAATTTCAATGAGAAAAAGCCCTCACATTATTAGCATAAGTATATTGAGTTTGTCCTTCATTTGTATGCTTTGGAAAAGCTTTGTATGGAAAGAGCTAGCAAGCTGGCAGTGCTGTCAGCCAAGCACAACTCCACGAGCCACTAAATGCAATCACAAAACCACAAAGCCGTTTGTGCTGCCACTTTGCTGTGGATCTGAAATGCTATTCTTTCTGAATGGTCCCAGTCGCGTATTGACCCGAGGTTAATCCACCTAGAAAGCCCTAATTTACAGGCCAGATGGCAGCCTTCATTTTCTTTTATTTCCTAGGGAAATCTGTTTACAGAAAACAGTTCTGCTGGCACTGAGCTGTTGAGACTTCTTGACTTTGGGTGTGATGATGCAGTTGTCTGGTCAGTGTAAGGCTGGAGCTGAGCTGAAAGGCTGAACTCACTTGGTTATTCAGGCAGTCCTGTTTGTTAAAACATGCGCTTGAGGTGCTAGAAGGCAGATAAGAAGCAGTTCCCAAAGGGTGCTCTGTGATTAACGAACCCCAAGGGCCTTGCTGTAAGAAAACCAGTGACAACGAGGCTTAACTCGCCTTCTCTCAAAGTCTGCAGCGTTAGGCCATGGCACAGAAATTGTCACCTTGTCTGAAGCTGCCGCTGCACGTGGGCGATTAACAAACTGCCACAGCACCTGAATATTTCTGAAAAGATTTCGTTTAAAGGCTAATCTTAGGTGGACTTAGTGAAATCACTTCAATGCTTTAATTTCCCCATCTGTGAAACGAAGATCATGTTACTGTAGCACTTAACTGTTTCATACCTGTAGTGTAAACTGGCGGACCTCGCAGTGTTGGGTCATCCAGAAATTCTTGCAAGTATCATGGTAGCTGTGCAGTTGTCTAGAACAACAGCAAATCAGCAGTGTTTGATGATGCCTGAGAACATTACCAGTTCAGCTGGCCCTGGCCATGCACTGCCCCGTACTAGAGCTGTGGTACTGAAGAGGAACCCGTGGTACCTTCTGGGAGATGAATTTGAACCTGAGAACTCAGCTGGGATAGAATGAGAGTCCAGAACTACCCCTCCCAGCAACATCAGGCTACAGCTCAGAAACAAATTCTTCTAAGTCTTTTGGTGAAAAAGGTGACCTTTCTCACAAGGTCTGAATTTTTTTTTAGAAAGAATTCGGTCTGGTTTGCTCGGACCAGGCTGGCAGACCAGACTTCCTGATGTGAGTTGGTGTAAACATTGTTCCTGAGATGATGGCATGCTCCCAAATGCTAAGGCAGTTCTGAGTCTTAACGTGGATCTGGTGAGGAGATAGGCTAAGTAAAGAGAGTTGTATTTTTAAAAGCAATTAATTAGACAGTTGTAATGCTTTCATTTCTTCCTGGCATTGTATTTCTGCCTGTCAAATTAAATGCAGATGCTTCTAAATATTGATTACACAGAGGCTGTTTCTGTTGGTTTGGCTTGACTCATCTGCATTTATCACTTCTTTATAGACAGATGATACACACAACAAGGTGTGCTTGGTATAGAATAGTTAATACTCATGTGGCTTCATTGATCACTTCCAAGTCATCATTTTCCTTGGATTACAAAACAGGACTGAGCTTCACCGTTTAGAAATTTAAACAGACGGTAGACATTTAAATATCTCCAACAAATAAATAAATAAATGCCTTCAGAAAGAGGTGGGAAAGGCAGCCCAGCAGTAAGAAAAGCCTGGGGGATAATAAAGGCAGCAGGAGAGATTAGAGTTCCATGTTGTCAAGGACTCTTGTTTGCTTTTAGTTGTGAAAAATGCAAGTGGAAATGTTACACCAGAGAAAGCCCAAACCCATGGGAAACGTCAACCAGTCTTGGTGTAACATGAGTTGATTCTTTAGGAACTGATGAAAGGCAAAGAGGTCCTGGTGAGAATTTCGCAGTTGCCAGACCATCTGTCAGTTCCCATTTGGTATAATTTCTCTTTTTTTGTTGTTTTCTCTTTTTTTTTTTTTGGTGGGCTGAACACTGATGTATCAGAGCAACACCTGCCTTAGGAGAAGGACCCTGTCGCTTTATACCAGTGAAATGCTGAAATGGGTAAAAATATCTGAGAAAGTACCATGTCCATTTCATAACTTTAGGAAGTCCATCTCTCTCCACCAGATTAGTTTATTACAAGTTTACACACAAGGATCTGCACTGAGTCAAATCTTCCTTCCTTGCTGTCCAAGGGAGAGAGTGATTTAAGACCCAGTGGGTTGTAACCCAAAATAGGTGAGAGAGAATCTGGATGTGGCTCAGTGCATGGATGAATCCAAAGCACGACTTCTGGCTCAGAAGAAGGGTTATAGCATGGGCATAACTTTACTTTTTCCACTGTCCTGCCTGGTATATGTTGCTCAGAAGAAGCATTTTACTGGCTTTTTAATGGAGCGGTCATTCAAAGCAACTCCAGCACCTTTATATGATACTGCTTTTCTTGTTTGAGATGTGCTTAGGAGATTTTCCTCTGGATGCATTCAGTGAAGTTGTGGTCTTTCTCAGAGCTTGACGATTTTTATGTATATTTAGATCAGCATCCGATCAGGCACAGGTCAGCCAGCAGGACAGTTTACTGCCTGAGCGCTGCTGGAAGCCCGGCTTCTGAGGTGAAGTCTGTGAGGGGCAAACCCAGTTCCTAAGAAAGCCTGCACATCTGCCACGTCATAAGGGAGGTACAGGACAGAATAGACAAATGGCCAGAAAGCTCTCTTGCCTGTGCTCTCTATTTTTACCATGTGCCAGCAGTTTTTCCTGAATATCAAATTTACTCCAGCAGAGATGCAGACGTTGGACTCACCAGCTACATGCTTAGGTCCTGATGCTGAGGACACCACCAGAGAGTGCTACCTCTGAGCACAGTCAGATCCTTCAGCGATGTGAGTTGGTTGTTCTGGGTTTTTTTTAATTGTCGTTCTTGGTGCTACAGGCTTCCAGTGGCAGTACCAGTGAAGGGGAAACGCGGATGGGTCTCATCATTGGCCATGCCTACTCAGTGACCGCGGTTCGGAAGCTGCGCCTTGGAGAAAGGCTCGTATTCTCTTTTCAGGCAGAAAAGCTGTTTATGATCAGGCTGAGGAATCCCTGGGGAAAAAGAGAGTGGAACGGCGCGTGGAGTGACAAGTAAGTGCTACAAAGCCAAAGTCAAAAGGAGTGAAACTGTGATTAGGGACAGTGGACGTTGAGACACAACATCATCCTGCAATACTCAGTGTTGGCCGGACTATTGTGCCATCTCTGCCTGAGAACAGCGTTCTGTGAGCAAAGGAGCACGTCCTGGAGGAGCCAGGAGGTTATGGCTTCCTGGACCTTAGTTTGCTGTGTGCATCATTGTTCTGAAACACTGGAGCATGGGCAGAAAAACAGCCTACCGTTAAGGTGATAAGTCAAGGACATGAGGTTTGTTCCCAGTTTAACCACTGAGTTTGTGACTCAGTTTCTCCTCTGTAATTGCTGGCTGCTGGAGATGGTGTAAATCTTTTATTCTTAGATAATTTAAGAGACTGGTGAAAAATGCTGTAGCACTGCCACATTTGTGATTTCGTGACTTATTTCCTAAAGAATTTTAATGAGGTCCATGAGCTTAGCAGGCACCCTTACAGAGACAGAAATGATTGCTGGAGGGGATATATTCCATCATCAGGAATTTACACGTGAAAAACATTTAACCAGGATGTTACAGTTCAACACTGTTCTTACCAGCCACCGCTACCATTTAATAAGGCAATGTTCTTAACAACAGCATATTAAGTTCTTATCTTCCATACTTTAGCTAGGAAAAATACGTTGCTTTCAAAGAGGATTCTTAGGGTGAGAGTATTTAATTTATTAATCATCTTTGTTGTTCTTTGTTTACTTTTTTCCCCCCTTTTAGTTCTGAGGAGTGGAAGAAAGTCAGCAGTTCAGAACGTAAGAGCTTGGGACTCACTCTTGAGAACGATGGCGAGTTCTGGTGAGAGGGAGTTATATGAAGGGTTTGGAGATATTGGCTACACTGAGTAATTGATTTTGCCATTTATCAGCTTCAAAAACAGCTTCCCCAAATGGATAAAAATATCCAGTCTTGGCACAAGGTTTATTTTAAAATCTCAAGGAAAGACAGAAAAGAACAGAAAAAATGGATTAAAAACTAGTGAACAAAATTAGAAGCTTTTAATAAATGTAAAATTCAAACACCCTCAAGATCTAGTATCTATATTTAGGACATTCACTGAGAACCAAGACATGGTTTACATGACAGAATGCCAAACACTGAACACACTATCGATCCTGTTTATTGATTACTGTGCCTATCTGTAGGATTTCTAGGTCAGCCATGGCTGAGGTATCTGTAAATACAATTGCAGCCAGTGAATTTGGATATTTGTGGGTGTTTTCCAGCATGAGCACAAGAAGTTTTCATTTTCTACAGAATCTCTAGAACATACAACCTGTCCTTTAGACTCAGGTGCTGCAACAGAACAATTCCAGAGCTGACCGAACATGTTGAAGTGATATTTCTCTAAATTAATTTCTGAGATTGTGGCTTCATGAGTATTTCCACATGGAGAGCTTTCCAGTGAATCAGTTTGTCCGCTGGACAGCTGAGCAATGCCTCCTCTTAAATTACTGGAAGATTTTGTGTGTTATTTTGGCTCTTTGCGCAAGTATCACTGTTTATTTTTAAATAAACCATGACTTTCCTGGTGTCCCATGCAACAGGATGACGTTCGAGGACTGGTGTAAGAATTTCACGGATGTGGACATCTGCCGGATTGTGAATACCTCCTACTTCAGTATCCACAAGACCTGGGAGAAGAAAATGATGCAGGGGGCTTGGACAAAGAACTCGGAACCCCTGCTCAATCGCTGTGGTGGATGCTTCGATAACAAAGAGACCTTCCTTCAGAATCCCCAGGTGGGAATCCCTGTGTTTGTGAGGTATGGAAGTGTATCCACTTCAGTCAGGGCCTCCAAAGTATTCACCGTTTAGGAGCTGGCGGTGACCACCCAACAGAAATCTTATTGCCAGTGTGCTGGTTCACTGCATGCTTCAGTGATTTCTGTGAAATCTCTCAGAAGAGTTTAGATGTTTGTTTAGGACTGATCATATATGGGACTGATGAGTAAGACACGCTGGGACTAGTGAAATCCAGCCTGCGCTTCTTTCACTTTCCCAGTTGTAGAAAGGCAGCAAGTCCCATTTTAGGACAGAACTCCATTCACTTAACGTAATTAAACAGCCTGAGGATCTAGTCCACCGTATGTAGTTAGTATTCCTTTGCATTAATCTAAGGTTCTGAAAGTATCTAGTCAGCATTACAGAACTTTCCTTGTTTCATCCTACCTGGTAATTTCCAGGCTATTCAGTTTATCTATTAGTGCTTATTCCATCTCTCTTCTTGCCCTTCTCGGTGTGCACACAAATTCAGGCATAAAACTTCCATTGCTGTCAATGAGATCTGGGCACTTAACTGCTTTAGTAATTGCTTTGAAAATTGACCTTTCTACACCTTTAGATTAATTAAAGATGTTCTTGTGCCTGCTTCTCTGCACTTGCAGGTGATATTTCTGGCTGCACCCCTCAGTTTTCATAGCAGGATATTGGAGGAGTGCAGCCTTCGCTGTTCAGACTGGGAGTGAATCTCAAACTCCCAGCTCAGGTGTAGATGGAGAAGATTCTTCACTGCTCTGTCTTCTGTCAGGGCCTTATTTCCAGAGGGTGATTTTATTCAGATATTCTCCTGTATGGTTCTGGACATATTCCAAGTGTTTGTCTGGGTCTCATTTGTAAGTGTTTGGCTGCCACAGAGAACAAAATATACATGTTATGGTTGAGTGTGATGCCTGATGCAATGAAAGTTCTTTTTATTCCACTGTTATCTCAGGACTTGTTGATTAAAAGGCTCTTAATAGCAGTGCTGGAACACATTTATGTTAGCTTAGGGCTGTTATAAATTACTGTGGCACATACTACCATAGCCTAGAGAGAGCCTTTTTCTGTTCTCCCTGAGTGAAATGTCTGACACTGAGACCTCCTGTGAAGTTTCCCTGTAACACTTCCAGTCCGTTTAGAATAAGGGAATTAAACCAAGTATAAATGTATTCATACAGCCACCTGCTGATTTCCAGATTGTTACCCGTTAGGACAGCTGAAATGTCATCACATCAGATCAAAGATGAGCTCTCTTGCACTGTCACAGTTCCCCTTCCACATGTCCATTGCCCTGGAACACTCTAGGCTGTGTGACAAGGTAACAGTGCGTACAGCTCAACAGGGACAAGAATTAAAATGTGCCTTACTAGTTGTTGCTGCATAGTTATTTCTGGCTTTTTAGATTCCCTCTGCAGAGGCTTTTTTACAACCCTTAAGGCTCTCTTCAGGGTCCTGTGCTTCCTCTGCTACAGTGTTGATATAGCACGTAAATAAGAGCACAAAGAAACATTAAACTTATACCAAATCCTGGCCATCCCAGAGTAGGAAGCAGTAGATCTGTAGGAGGCCAATCTGGACTGTAAATACCGTGAACAACTAATGAAGCCCAGAGGCTTGGGAGGGTATTGATTTTCTTTCCAATACTGCTGCGCTTCAGCCAACTCGGCTGGAGGTTGGTGTTTCCTCCGTGCGGGTGTGACACAGCCTGAGACAGGTCAGGGATGAGAAATGGGCTGGAGCCTTACTCGGCAGAGCTCTAACCACAGAGGGGTGTGAAGTCATTCCAGGGGATCTTTCCACAACAGTAACCAAGGCAATCTCAACATCTACCTCCGAGCAAAGCTCAGTGAGGATTTGCTTTTCTTAGCAGCTCTTGGGAGGAGCAGGGAGAGGGATACTGAACAACTGATGATATTCCTCTCCATCCTGTCAGAGAATGTCAGCTTAAATCAGAACCTGTGGTGCACATGGAACCCAGCTGTGCACAGCTGCAGTTTCATGCTTTTATTAGTTTGCTTCACATTTAAAGGTCTCTGAGGATGGAAGAATACAGCATCTGTCTAAAACTGATTCAGTGTCCTCTTCCACTGGTTCTGACAATTCCGATTTGCCCTCTGTATGGAAGAAAGAAACAAAATTTAAGGGAGTCTCTAGAAGCGAATGAATTTGAGTGTTTAATTCTTTGTCATATAAAGAAACATCTACCTTACTGTTTTTTGTCTACTAAAAGGGTGCATACTTGTCTGGTAGCGATGCTTAATATGTTAAGAAATTCAAGTCTGATTTGATTGAGATGGGAACTCCTGCCTGAAGTTGAAATAATTTCCTTTGGCTGATCTTAAACCCAAGTTGGTTCAAGTTCACTCTAAACAGTTTGGATGTTAAAGATGCAAGAGTCCTTCTTAGCCTTTCTTACTGGGTATTCCCAAGACTTTCGAGAAAAATGGGAAAGTCCAAAATTAGCATTACTGCCATTCTAATGTTAAATAGAAATGGTAGGTGTGGGTTTGGGTTGTTTTTTTTAATGAAAATTTGAAAGATTCCTTCGTTTGCAGGTCCTATAGAAAGATGTTTGAAATGTACAGGCCCTGTTTAGGTATTAAAGTTAAAAGAAGAATCAGAAATTATCAAGAACCCCATCTGGAATCTGTTGTTTAATTTTTTTATCTCATTCCCAATTTATATATATCTAAATAAAAAGTAACCTTTTGTCTTTTGCTTTCAGAGGGGATGTTGTCTTCTGCTGCCTCAACAACTATTTTGCAATACAGTCTCACGCTGTCCTTTATGTGAATTACCATTTCAGTGTCTCTGATACTTTTGGTTTAAAAATCCTTATTATTAGAATTAATTTTCAGCTATATATTGTTGGGAATGTCTGTCGTATGGAGAACTCTCCTTCCACCCCCATAAGTATTTTCATTTGTCTCTGTATGCATGTATTTCCTTGGTGGTGGCTTTATCCTCAGTTTCCTAAGACATTTCTAACAGCTTACCTTCTTCCCTCCTCTCCTAGTACATCTTCGATGTCAAGAAGACTGAGGACAAAGTGCTGGTCTCATTACAACAGGAGGATCGCCGCAAATACAAGAAAGAAGGGAAAGGAGACAGCATCCCAATTGGCTTTGAAATACTCAAGGTGGGCAGCCATCTGCACTCCTGGTTGAGAGTTTGTTCAGAAGTCCTGCTTCATCCCCGCAGTGAGATCTTTGGCAGACAGAGGCGTGATTATTATAGAATCGTAGGTCTGGCTCTCTCCTCCACATGAGTTTCGCATCTGTACTGCACTTAGTCACCAGAGCTGACATTAGACAGACTATTTGAACTAAACTGAATTTAGTTCAATTCAGACTCTATTTGGACTAAAGGAATACAAGTAATTTTTTCCTATTGCAAAAGAATTTTATGAGATTTTTCTACCCTAAGCTTTAAAAAGAAATATTAATGCTCAAAACACGGAGGGTTTTTTTTCTCCTCACCGAAGGCTCCTGCCTCCATTTCATCAGCAAATATAGCCAAGTGAATGAATTTGGAAAGTGCTGTTTTTCTTTTACCACTAAGAAGAAAGAGTCAAGGGTATTATCTAAAGCTGGAGTAGTGAGTAGGAAATGAGCATATGTGAAAACGAACCAGTGGGTTACCAGACAGTACTTTAATTGCATTCCCAGGGCAAGTTGACTAAAATGAAAACATAAAAACTGAAAGAAGGAGTAAAGCACGAGAAACAGCTATGCATCTGCTTTTTCACTGAGGATCAGGACTATCTTATCTTCTGTTGCTGTAGCCAGTGGGACTACACTGACCCTGTGGCCCTGCCCTAAAAACTAGTAATTTTTTAACGGTCAGAGCTGCTGTTATCTGCATCGCACCTATTCGTTCGACAGTCACATATATTGAAAAGCATCCTTACGGAAAGTAGCATAACTTACCTTGTCTTCTTCATGCCTGCATTTCTAATGTGGAAAGGCCTGGAAAAGAAGATCACACCTTCAGAAAAGCATCACAGCCTTTATTTCTGTTCAATAGTTTTTCTATTTCAGAAATGTTCTAACCCACCCGGGGTCATTATCATGACTAAAGGCCTTTGGAAGACCATGGCCTAAATTATCTGAAGACAAAAGAGAAAAGAATGTAGCGCTGTCTTTGCCTCCAGGACCTGCTTAAGAAATAGTTTTTTATTGTGTCGTGGCAAATATCAGAGGTTGTTAACAGTTGTGCACATCTTCAAGACTTAGAACAAAACATAAATGGTTATTCTGTGGCTTTTGCATCCAGGAAAGGGCAACAAAAATACAGCTCTGTGCATCTGGATTGAGAGCCTGCTATGCAAGACTGCCAAACCATCTGCCTTTGTTGCACGTTGTCTTTTCTGCCCAAGGAAAGTTGTGTGATGTGCAGGGAAAAATCCCACCTGTTAGCTCTGTTGCATTAATCCCTGTTCTGCTCTGGGGCTGTAGGTGGAGGACAACAGAAGCTATCGACTACACAAGCTGACTGTGCAGGAGAGAGTGGCCACGTCTCCGTACATCCACACACGCGCTGTGTTCTTGAAGAGGATCCTTAAGCAAGGCCGCTACATCCTTATCCCAACTACCTATCATCCTGGCATCAGCGCAAAGTTTATCCTGAGGCTCTTCACAGATGTGCCATCAAAACTCAGGTAGGTTGCACTCACAGCTGCATGAGATCCTTTCTTTCTTGAAACCGGTGATTGTCTGCAAGGGCAAAACTAGTGTTTTGTGAAATTAGGCCTGCTGGATTTTTTTTCTTGCTTTGATACTATTTTCCGTGATTTAAATGCGAAGGTTTTCTCCACCACTTTTGCTGCCATGCAAAAAGATGACACAAATGTGGTTCGCTGAAATTAGGCCTGCTGGATTTTTTTTCTTGCTTTGATACTATTTTCCGTGATTTAAATGCGAAGGTTTTCCCACCACTTTTGCTGCTGTGCAAAAAGATGACACAAATTTGGTTCGCTTTGCTTTGCTCTGTTTTTATTTCTTAAGTCTGTCTTGTCTTTACCACAAACTTCCAAAATAGTAGATGAGGAAAAAGTATAAATCTCATGTTCTGAAGATGTCATTTTTCCACAACTGTTGATTGTTTGCTTGGCATTCGTTGCTTCAGTTGCTTTTCCCGTGATTTTTCAGGGAGCTGAAGGCAGATAAGCCTAAAATGACATGTTGGAATCTTCTTTGCGGCTATCCACGCAGAGTCACCCAAATCAAGGTTCACTCTGCAGAGGGTCTACAAAAACAAGACAGATCAGGCGGTAAGTGTAAAGCGGCCCTGGAAGAATGGAATGGGCTTCTTCAGTCCTTTAAAGATGATCTGAGTTGATACGTAGGCAGTCAGAAATTATCCAAACAAACTGAAGATTTATGGGATTATTTTTTTAGCGTGTTGTAAAATCTGCCCAAAAGGAGAGATCAGATGAATAAGGCGATGCAAACCAGCAAGAGTTACGTGCCATCTGGGCTTGTCCAGATGGGTGATAGTAGCTAGACCTTCCTGAGAAGCTTTTTGTGGAGATTAGTAGGAAATTCACCTTTCACGGTTTTGTGTTTTCTAAATGAAAACTATCCAGGGAGACAGCTGAATGGCAGAGATTCATGTAGTGTATTACACTCACCTCAGCAATGTCATTCACAGCCTTCAGAGCACTTTGGTATGCATGACCACAAGCTTAATAGCACTTCAGGGAGGAAATTACGGTTTCCGAACCATTTTCAGCTGGATAAACTAGGACAGGGAGAAGTTAAATGACTTGCACAGGCCTGTGTATCTGCATGTCAGAGGGAGTGTTCTGAAGGACACTGAAATGCCATTCTGGCACCAGATGTTGACAGTTAATTAGGAGACTTGTCCAGTTGTCATTTATTTCCTCTTACTCTGTCTCGGCTTTCATTTTCCATGACCAGCACAACAGAAGAAGGCAGACACATCCAGCACTGAGTGGTCGGTAGGGAGAGAGCGAAGGAGTAATGATACCGCGCTGAAATTAGAGCAGGAGGCTAAAGAGGTCCCTCACACATCTGCTTGTGTTTGCTCCAGAGAGCTCTTCAGCTCTCTTAGGTTTAGGATGTGGAGCTCAGTTGCATTAACTTCTTGTGGTAGAGAAGGCATTAGACTCAGACCTGTAGGAGGGTTCATCTTCAGTCTCACAAAGCAGCTGTAAACACTCTCCCAGCAGCTGGCTCCAATTTTATTCCAGTCCCCTTTTCATAGTTATTCCTGGCATCCACTGAGTGGTGACTGAATGTACTTTTCACTGTAAAAGCCACTTTCCATTAAGTCTGGTTGTCTCTCCGGGGAACATGAATGTTGAAGGGAAGAGATGCAGAAAATGGATTCAATTCATTTTTCTGGGTACTTTTCTTGAAAAACGGGAGCCACAAACACCTCAGTCAAACAAGGGTGTGCCTGCACGTTCTCAGCAAGGCAGGATGGATGGGTGAGACCGAAGGGGCTGTCCGTGACAATAGCCGAGCAGGGCATTAAAAAGAGGCAGTATGTTCTCGTTCTTGCCCTGGGAAGGACATTTTCATTTTTAAGGGTGGTTGGTTTTTTGCTTTTAAAATTCCTTGAGCTTTTTTTCCCCTGCCATAAAGAAATAAAAGCCAATTCTCCACCCTTAGCATTGCACAATTATGGTCTTGACAAATTCATTAAAAACAGTTGCCTGCAGCTGCCAAAGACCAGACTCGAGCGCTGTGGGATTTGGTGCATTGTGACACAGACTCTCAGGAATATACAAACAGGACTTGCAGCCAAAGTATAATAAATATTCTAACTACAGTGGATTAGCCTGATTAGCCCCACTGCATTTCACAGGGGTTCCCTGATTTCTCCTTCACCTTCTCACCTGCAGCATATGTCAGCTCTCAAGCTGCTGCTTTTCTCATGCTCAGTTTCTGTCATTCGTCATCGGTATTCCACCTGTCCTGCCTGGTTAGTCGCTATCATGCCTTAGCATAGAGAGAAGACAAAGCTTGATGATAAAGGAGGAGGTTGTGATTCATTCTGAAGCTTCTGAGAACTGAGACACGGCGTTACATCTCTGTGACAAACTGTCCTGAAAATATCAGGATGTCTCTGTAGTCTAACACTGGGATATGCAGCCTGAACAGAGATATATACCTTTTTTCTTTCGCTATAACTAGGAGAGAAGTATTCTAGTTTTGAAGGCACTGTTCTTCAGATAAGCCCACCACTGTCACCTAAGAGTTGTGCTTTGCACAAATTTCTGAGCAACTACTTAAACAAAACTCAGGAAGAATGAAGGTTGCGCAGCAAGTGCGCACTCGGCCTGATTCATGAGCTTGTTGTCATCAGCACCCTGCTCGCTGCCAGAGCAAGGTTGTTTAATCCCTATTCTAAATGTTTATTGGAAAGCTCCTCCTTGCTGCTGTCTTTGATCCGTTATCCTGTCTGGAAAAAATAATGGACGGTTTGCTGTTGTCAAGAGGATTGCATGAACCTTGCTGCCCAGACTCAGTTCCGACTGCATGTACGCTGCTTCTCTGGGAAGCACCTCTCTCTGAGTTAGCTTATCCTGAAGTTGATCCAACTGCCTTTGAGCCAAGTGCAGTGGCAGGTTTGCAAGAAGATTTTCTGTCTCTCGCTCCCAAGTCTGTTTTAAGTGTTTCTCTCG